TCTATTTTCACCAATATTCAAAATGCTGATGTTGAGAAAAGTAAAATCTGTCTAGATTTTATTTAGTCTGAAAAAATGGTTTCGGCAATATTGAGGAAAGTCTAATAAATAATTTCCAATTATGCATCTATATTACATACAGTATCTAAATCACACGAATTTAAGAAGCACATTAGGAAAAAAACTTTTCAAGAAAATGCTAAACATCTGGTTTCTATACAGTTATGATTGAAACAGAGAAAGACTAATGGTGCCTACATTGTTTTTCTCAACATTTCTGCTACAGTGAAAATATACTCCAAATTTCAAAATGCTTTGTTCAAATTTAGCCTTTGAATTTTAAGTATTCTAACATATTTTATGAATGTCTGTAACTGGACAAAACTTCTTAGTTTAAATGCTTCTCTTTTATTGTAATCCTATACTTTTATATAAAGTATGCTACAGTATTAAATATAAGCAAAGAATAATGGTGTCACTACAGTGGTCATAAATGATCAGTAAGAGGACTCAAATTATTGTCTCTCACAAAGTAAGTAAATTGAAACAACGAACAGCAATCTAAACATAAAATCTCTCCACACTGCAAACTAGCACCAAACACATAGTGTAGCATTTTGGACACTTATAAATATAACTTAAACATGCATTGGGAAAAAAATTTGAGGTGATACTAAAATAACAACAATGTAGAAGGAGTCCAAAATGAGAATATTACATAAAAGTGACTAGTCTAAACTAAAAAAGAATGACCACCAATTGTAGGGTATTAGCAGCCACACCTAGAAATTAAGTACCCTGAACTGGCAAGCTACTAGAAAATCAAAATGTTAGTAAAACTATCCATTTCAATATACTTTGTATTAAATCACATGAGTGGGAAAAAAAAAAAAAGATTATGAGATTTTATTTATATGGAAAATGAAGTTTCCCCTAAGTCAGTAAAACCTCATTTAACATAATTTGTAATTTATGTATAACCTGCCCTGAGGTGGAACAAAGTTAAACCTTGACACTATCAATGAAGAGTTTGCTAAACTACTTAACAATGTAATCTAAATTAAGAGATGTTTTAGATCCTATTGGGGATACTGTTTCTATGAAAATAATGCTGCTTAAGGAATGCAGCCATATTCCTTCTACCTTCCTCATTCTAATGAAACTGCTCACTCAAGGGAAACAACCTTCTAATTGTGAGACTCATAGCCTCTTCCAGTTCTTTTCCTAATTGACCTTCCCACAGTGTTTGGCAATGATGACTACCTCTGTCCCCTTCTTGATATTTTCCTCCATTGCCATGGCAGTTTCTTCTAGTTCTCTTACACTCCCTGAGTTTCTGCCCAAGCCAAGAAACCTGGAGTCATCCTTGCTTTCCCCTCACTCACCTTCCCCCACATCTCCAAGTCCTGTCAATTCTACCTCCTAAAGTCTCTCAAATCCAAACACTTTTCTCCCTTATCATGGTCACTGCCCTAGTCATTGCATGCTTCTTTAAAATGGAGTACCTTTATCACTCAGGGTACCTAAGGATTTTCTAAAGCAGTATGGGTGACATAGAGACTCTCTTTCTAGGTTTTCAACTCCTATAAATACTGCTTCCTAAAACTAATCTGCTTAAGATCACACATTCAGTCAGGCATCAGTCATAAAACTTCTCATTTTCTTTTTGTTCTTCACCTACTTAACTAAAGTACAGTGGTGCACTATCTCAAAGTGTAAAATACTTCTGGGTACCAAAGGGACCGTTCAAAATACCGGCATTGTTATGAAGAAAGAGAATGACTCCAGTGATCGCATAACCCAATCCTTTTGCAAGTCAGGTGGCTCCCATTCCTTTGCTTTCAACAAAATTTAAGACAGACCTTAATAACACACCATAAAATATGATTTTTAAAGGTAGAGCATTGTTTGATTTTTGGCAAATAACTCTGAAGGAGTTAAAAGAGTGAAGTGACAATGCCACGTGAAAACTCCTTCCATTTGCATCTGATTTATGTGAACAAGGTTTTCAGCACCACTGCCTCAGCTTAGGCCCTTATCCAAACTGGTATTCCCAACTTCCACTTTTCCTCCTAGTCAATACATTCTGCCTCATGATCGGGTATCTCAAAAACAAAAAGTTAAATAAGTACATGATACCTTATCATTAACCTGTTTAAAAATCCTCCACAATTTCTCTCAGCTACCAGATTTTTTTTTTTTTTTTTTGAGGCAGAGTCTGGCTCTGTTGCCCTGGCTAGAGTGCCGTGGCATCAGCCTAGCTCACAGCAACCTCACACTCCTGGGCTCAAGCGATCCTACTGCCTCAGCCTCCCGAGCAGCTGGAACTACAGGCATGCGCCACCATGCCCGGCTAATTTTTTCTATATATGTGTTTTTTTAGTTGTCCAGATAATTTCTTTCTATTTTTAGTAGAGACGGGGTCTCGCTCTTGCTCAGGCTGGTCTCGAACTCCTGACCTTAAGCGATCCACCCGCCTCGGCCTCCCAGAGTGCTAGGATTACAGGCATGAGCCACCGCACCCGGCCAAACAGATTTTTTAAAAAGAAAAAAATCCAAACACCTCAGCATGATATTCCAGGCCTTCCACCACCTAATTACAACTTACTTCCCTTTGTGCAGCCATATCAACCACTCTCTCCCTATGACCCACCCACGACCCCATACATTGGACACTACTCACCGTGCCCCCACCCAACAGCCACACCCTCATGCTCAGGGGATTCCCTCTGCCTGGAAGGTCCTTCCTTTCTCTCTTCTCTGCCTGTGACACTCCTACTTTTCATTTAAGGCATGTCACAAATGTCATGTCCTCTGAGCAGCTTTATGGGAATCCCCAGACAGTATTAATGGCACTATTCATTTTCTGACAATCATTAACAGAGCATCCATGTTGATTTTGAGAGATATAAATATGAACAAGATAAGGGACTGTCACAGTCTTGTGAGGACAGAAATGATGTCTGACAATTACCATACATTCATACGTTGTTTATACTTCTAGGTAGAAGTCATATCATTGAGCCAGAAGAACACAAGAACAGATGGCTTTATAAAAATAAGAGATAGAAAATGAGCAGTGACAAATAAAAGTAGGAGTTTGCTAGGAAGAATTTAATGCTAGTTAACTGTATATCTAAGGTCTGCCAGATGCCAGAGCTCAAGCTTAGGACAACAGTTAAGAGTGTGGGCTCTAGAATGACAACACCTAGTTCAAATCCCAACTGTATCACTTATTAGTTTACAGAATATACTTAATTTTCCTAAGCTTCTTTTTATTCCACTCTATAATACGAATTATAATAGTGCTAACATTCAAAAGCATTATTATATTAAATGAGGCAATCCACATAAAATAGCACAGAGCTTTATATGTGGTAAATATTATATATAAGAGCTTCTTATATAACTAGTATAACATACTGTCTTTTCTGTAACAGTACATTCTGCTACATTCTGTAACATAAATTTTGAACTTTAACTTCCTAGTTTGCAAAATGGGGAGACCACCTTACTTATGTAATAAGTCTTACATTATGCCAGGCACACAAGAATGCATGATTTCTGTTCTCTACCCAAGTAAAACAAAGATAAATAAATAAATAAAACTTTACTTAGTAAAAATCAATCAAGATTCGCTTCAGTACCAGCAAATTTCATTTCTATGTAGAGGTTTCTTCCCATCCCACCAGATATCCTTCTGAAACTTACCCTTTTCCAAGTAAGACCTTGGAGCCCAAGGTGGGTCCTCTTCAGCATAAGGATCACTATACTCAACCACAGCTGCTTCCTCCTCTTCATAATCTTCCGGGGGAGGTGGTGGAGGGGGGGATTCATCAAAGACTGGTTCTTCCACAGGTGGTGGTGGAGGTGGTGTATCTGAAACTAAGAATGTATCAAGCTGAAAACAAAACTACACATTATGCAAAGTTCAGTATTTCTTCTCCAAGCTTCTAGGTTCATGGAATATAAACCTAGATTTGAAAATAATCATCTTCCAAAAAATGAGTGAGCAAGAGAACTCTTTGTGTCAACTAATGTTCTAAATCTCTAAGCATGACTTTCTCCCCCCCCCTTGGGTTAGTGCTGATGGATGCTGAATAGAGTTTAGCCTACATAATTATTAACTGATCCTCTAGAACCTATTTATGCTAACACGTAATCCTCTTTTCAAGGTATCTGTACACTATATCCAAAGTAGGATATAGCTTTACACTATATACAAAGAGAAGTTATCAGAAATATTAATAATTTGGACATATATAACCATATTTCACTTAAATTATACTGAGTCCGGGGAATAGTCAAATTTTAATAATCTGCTACTTTCCTCTCAAAATTTTTTAAAATAGTGTTTTATCAAATTGGGTAAATTTGGGTAACTTCATCCATGAAGATGTTTTGTTTGTTTACAGAATGATTCTGAATTTCTTCAGGCTAAATGTCCAAGTGTACTAGCAGAGTGATTTAAAATATTTAAAATCTCTCCCATGGAGATTTGCTTCCACAGCTCAGGTACCAGCATACAGTAAGATCTAAACGATTATCTTCAAACTCGGAACTCAAAGCTTTCCAAATGCTTGGTATACACTTGAGCACAACTCAACAGAATAAAATTAATAAACCTGCATTCATCAGCTCCCCAGTTTTAATAAACAGCACTAATTCTTATTTATGGGTTCCAATACTGTTTCTATAAAATTCTCCGAGGAATCCTGTTTATTTTCTATTTTTTTAATCTAAGCCTACTGATTGAATCAAATGGATTTTAGAAGATTGGTGAGACTCAGTCACATCAACACCATACTCTGTCCTATTTCAGTATTCTTCCCATCTGCTGTGCCATTCTACAGTGATCTACTTTGTAAACTTTACTCATTAGACAAAAATTCATTAGTTCTAATGGTTTTTATTAATAAAAAAGATACAGATATGTGATCTTAGCATATACTTAATGAAAAATTACATATGGATGGCGTGAGAAAGAATATATCCAATTTGCATTCATAAGGTAAAAAGACTGACATTAAACAAGCACAAAAAAGTAGATCCAAAGGAACTTTCAAAACAATCACCTTCAGAAATGACACTACAAAATTACTCAAAAATGCTGCTATTGCTCATTTTTACCTTTCTTACAATTTCCTTACAGCCAGTTTAATAAGACTAACATGAGCTATCATTTTTGACTTAAAACGTTCCAATTACTCAGCTAGCACTTTATAATATATTATTTCATTTAATCTTTACCTCAGGAGGTGGTGTTTTGAATCCTCATTTTATGGATGTGGAAAATGGCTTTCCAAGATTAAGGATTCCTACAGTAAGTAAGTAAGTAGAACACCTGAACTCCAATGCCTGTTATCTTAAAAGCTACACTACTGTAAGATAAATTCAATAACTTTAAAATCATGTTTCATTATTATTCATTCAACAACATCAACTAAGAGCCTGCTAAGACTAGGTATTATGCTCAGCACTGAGGAAAAGCAGTGGGCAAAAGGCATGGAGACATGGATAACCAAACTTTTCATTTACAATTAAGTGCAGTGCTTTAAGATATTATTGAAACACACAGCATAGACCAACCTCTTATGTGGGTGAGAAAAGGCTTCCTGAGACCTGAAGAATGAGTAAGAGTTAATGGGGCGAAGAGGGTAGGATGGTATGGGGGCTTGGATATTTCAAGTGATATAAAGAATAAAACAAGTACAAAGGTAAGAAAGCAGGAAACGTCCAAAGAACTGTAGAAAGTTCATTAGAAAGAGGCATGAGGAAGCTAAAGAGGACTAGGCTGAAAGGACCTTACAAAAGCTTAGACTCTAGCCAAAGAGCAGTAGGAAGCTGCAGGAGGAACTTAAGGAGAGTAATAGGATCTTAACCATAATTCTTACCCCAGCATAACTGGTTCACTATAACTGGTTCCAAATGATTCCAGACTTCTTCCAAATATCAAACTTAATGCAGAGTAAATATGTGCTACCACAGAGTATCTTCAAAATAATATACCTGAAAAGCTTTGAAGATAATTCCAAAAGAAAGGTATATATCTAAGGTGAATGTTTTGAAGATAACATTCATTTGAATGTATAAATCCTGCTAAGTCTCTGCAAAATCAGTCACAGCGCATCTTATACATGATTTTTATTTTGTACATTTTGTATGTGAAAAATGTATATGACCATAGAAAGAGATGAAAAAAACTATCCCAAAAGGTAATCAATTGTGATAGGGTGGTCAAATTAGAGAATGACTTTTTAAAATATAGGTAATGCTGCTATAATGTCTAATAATCATCTACTTAAAACATTTCTAAGTCTTAAATTGGTAATCATGCATTTCAATAACATAGTTTTTTTTAGGTCTATTCATGAAACATTTTGATGTTTCTACAAACTTTGCAACTTTCCCTAATGACTGGTGAAAACTACTGACATCCTGCTTCATAATCCTGTTCAACTTTCAGACCTAGTTTTTTGAAAAAATAAATAAATAAATAACCATTTAGTTCCTATATAAACATTCCTGTTTGACTGATGGATTAGTCTTCAAATCCATCTTGCAATTTCAGTTTCAAGGTCTGGCCTTTACTCCAGAACCTGCTCACAACCACTTTGTTCAGAATGAGTGACATCATCTTGTAAAACATGCAGTAGCAACTGACTAGTGGAATTCTCCAAGGTACACACTCATTATGGTAGTAAAATCAGAAAAAACTCCCACCAAGGTATTATTCAAGTGACTATCTTCACTAATCAAAGTGATTAAAATGAATTTCTGATGGGAAAAAACTTCTACTGTAATGACACTTAGACTTTCCACCTTATATGGATGTGCAGAAAGACACAGAGTTGGAAATGTCCTTCAATTCTGATACTATAATTAATCCTTTTCTACTTGGTCCCAATTTACCCTGTTTAGATGCAGCAGGAAATTTTTAAAAAGAACAGTGAACAGTGACCTTCTATCCCACACTTGACCTCACAAGCCTGGCAAAGGGTTTACACTATAGCTGTGCTGGGCACATGCTGGACCAGCTGAACCTTGCTGAGAGGCCATTTTCTCCCTGGGCTAGTGTGGGTCACACACAAACCAAAACAACAGTGAGTCCCAATAGCATAATTTAAAAACATATAAAATCTACCTAATTATATGTGAAAATAGCTCTTAAATTTAACAAAACATCTTACGAAATCACAGTGTGGTAAACATTATGGGTATGTAGGGGGTGCCTTCCAATAAACAGAAGTAAGTACAACAGACTATTCAGAAATCGGCAAACAGAGATGCAAAGGCACCTGAAAGAGACACTGTGCCCTCAGGCCAGTAAGACTGGATTATAACCAGTTAAAATACAAACCCATCTTCAAAAAGAATGTGTCAATAAAGGCGGGGAGGCAGTTAGCTGTAGAAGCACAAAAAAAGAGGGACCAAAAGTGTCTGCTATGTGTCAGATGCTTTTCTAAATGCTGGAGAAACAGCCAGCAAACAAAACAGGGAAAAAAAAAAAAAAAAATCCTGCTCTCATAGAGCTTGCATTCTTGTATTCGTAATGCCCATTTCCAAAGAAGTAGGTGTCCTAAGCAACAGACTGCAAACATTTCTATCCCATCAGTGAGGCCGTCCTTGTTATGAGATGTATACGATGAGTTACGTTGGCCTGATGACATTAAATCTTTAATATAATTCCCCTAGTTCAGATTTCATGCACATCATGCAACCTTATGATTGTGATGTGGCCCCTCATGTAGACAGCTCACAAGAATTCATCCATCATACAGACTATGCTCATGGTATCTGTGACAGCAATTCCTCACTGAATGTTGATATAGGCCTCCTGACCTTCCTTAATGCCTCCCTAGCAGAACGCTTCATGTGTCAATAACATCAGTTATCTGATTCTGCATGGCTCAGTACTAGACCACAGGCCAACGTAAATCCATCGCCAATCTATGAGGCCTCTTAGGAGACAGACAGGCAGCTTGGTCCTCTAGGCCCTACCACCACGGCATGGCCCTTTTTACAACCTGGAATCACAGGACAGAAGGAAGAGTCACAGGCCACCTACCAGACCCTAAAATTCCAGTGATAGGAAACTAGACTACTACTTATCTGAGCAAACGAGACAAAAAAGATGGGATATCTGGTGATTAAAGAGTATCTCCTCATTTAGGTGTGATCTTTCTTTTCTTACATGTGCTTCATTTTATATTTATTTGTCTTAATCTTCACTACTAGATTTCAAGCTATTTGAAAATAGAAAATTCCATCTTATATTTATCATCCCCACTAGCTCTTCAGTGACTTGTTCATAATATTAAAATATTTGAAATATCAGCAAATGAATGACCATTTAGTCAATCATATATAAATGACATTTTATGCCTATAATCTGGTCTACAGCATAAAGAAGACATAAACTTACTATTTTCTTGGACTCTGGCCACAAATCCCATTAAAGGTAACTGAGGAGTTACCTGTAGGATGGAGGGAGGAGGAGGAGCAAGAGATACTGCAAAAACAAAAAAGGTGTGGAGGATAAGGGGTAAGGGCGAGTTACATTAAAAGGAAAGGATAATACAATAAAACGAACATACAAAGGAGGGAAATCACTATTCACAAACATTTTATAAGTGATCTTAAGAATCCCCTTTTGATGGATAATTCATTAACACATAAAACAAAGTATTTAGGGAATTTTTAGTAAGTTTTTAAAAATTAAAAAACAGGAAGCATTTATCATATACAGATCTACCCTAACACATAATGGCAATCGATCTTTTTCATATTGATAACATACCTTCTCAAAGAATTTCTATAGATTACCATGAATAAGTTGGTTTTCTGGATTTTCCCTTGAAGGTTGTAAGTTTAAATCTTTGTCA